GCAACAGCCTGAAACCTGAATTGAGAATCGGGGCCTTGTTGTACCTGGTCCTGTGGAAACAGGTAATGAGAGCAGACAGCCCCTGCTCTAGCCTGGACCCACACCCACAGCGGCACTCCCACCCACACTTTGATTCGCGTAACAGTGGTAGGAAAGGGCCTGATCCTCTCACACTGGGATGAAAAGTGACTTTACAAGGCATAACACGCACGGCACACCATATCGCATTTGGGAGGGAGCAGAGGTTGTCAAAGGTGGCTAAGCTGCTTAAGTGATACACACTGGGGATCTGGGAGAAACAAAAAAACGCAAGCCAGGAGCAAAGCATAGCTCCCTGGAGGTCCTGCTCGGCTGCTGGTGCTGATGGCCCTGCACCAGCACCCTCCCATCGCCGCCCCACTCTGGCACAGCCATGGCTTGCTGGTGTCCCCTCTGGAAGGGGAGGTGAAGCCCCCACAGAGGTGGCCATGCCCGGCCCACAGCCCTCCAGGAGCACCTCTCCTACCTCTCCCTGCACCACTTGCCATGGCCAGCCCTTTCTGGGGACCCTGCGCCCACCCAGTGTCACCGTGGCTGCTGTCCCGCTCTGGCCACAGCCAAGCCAGGCCCGGGTGAGGACACGGTACTGAAGTGGTGATGCACGTGGTTATGGTGGACAGGGGCTTGACACCCACCTCCCGCCACAGCATCTCGCCAGCTGCCTGCTCCTGCCGCCCTGGCTGGTCCCACCCACCTACTTTTCTCTTTATTTTTTTGGTTATACGGAGTTAGGCGGGACACTGGTGCAGCAGAGTTTTAAAGTCTGCACTGCCTGGCACTTTCTGACGGAGGACTGCCTGGAAGGGACACGGTCGCTGGGTAAGCTCGGCGCGCCGGTGCAGCCGGATCTGGTGTCGCCTCTCGCCAGCGGCCTGGCCTCGGCTCCCGGCGGCGGAGGACGAAGGGCTGTGCCCACGGCACAGAGGGGAAGAGCCAACCTCTGCAGCCAACCGTTCGGCAAGGAGCAAGGAGGAACACGACAGCGGTGCTCAGATTTGTAGACTTTTATTTTTCAATCTGTACAGAACTCTGTCGCTATTATAATAAGGCATCAAATGCACTATTGAAAAGCTCACGATGGACTGTGACATTTTGCCCCGCTGTGGGTCAAAAAGGAGTTTTACAAGATTAAACCACTTGCTTTCCCAGTCAGTGGACTTTATATTCATTACAGACAGATTTTTAAAAGAATTACAAAGATTAAAAAACTGTAAACATATGAAAAAACAGCAACAACCCAGCGTAGCTTCCTAGAAGAGAGTCTCAGACACTTCTGCTGCGGGGCCGGCTCGGGCTGGAGGTGAGGAGGCAAGGCGGGCTCTGCCTGGGAGCCGCGCCGGGGACCCGTCATCCCGGCGGGGCTGGGACTGCCTGGTGATGGGCCTCCGTTTTGGTGAGAGTCCCCAGCAAATGCCAGGCAGCTCCCAAATGGCCAGCCTCTGCCACAAACGTCTAACTGAGAAAAAAAAAAAAAAAACTGAGAAAACCGGTCACCGGGGAGGTGTTTGAACAGCGGGGAGCCCGCCGCAGGCTGCCAGCCCCTCGCCGCGGCTGCCGGCCTCCGGGTCCCCTCCCGCAGGAAGGCAGAGGCCAGGGCAGGGCCTGGCCCACGGACACGTCTTGAGGTAGAAAACGGGCAAGCGTCATGTTTGGCTGTTAGGGTCGGTCAGAAATAAACTGACTGACAGCACGAATCCCGCTATGTTTCCAGGGTACTCCAGGGAGCACCTAAAACCCACCTGGTGGTATGCCCCAAAATTTAGATCCCCAAAGAAGAAAGCTCTCCAATGATCCATGAGACAACTTTAGCTCAGGCAACAAAAAAAAAGCCCAACTATTTTTCTCACACTTGTACCCTTAAAGCATTTAAATTTTGAGCAGGGGAAATCAAATTGCGAGGGGGCATGAGAAGGCAATTAATTTTCCTTGGCCTCAGCCTTTGGTACCGCCTTGTGCGAGGTGGACAATGCAAAGCCTTGTCCACTGGGCAGCAAGCTAATACATTCATTTTCCATTAGCCACCAGACAACATGTATTTTGGTCTCTGCCACACCACACAACACGAGATCCTGAGAGTCCAGAGGTTTTATATCGCACCACCAACCCACACAGTCATGTAGTTTGTAAAGATATCTTGTTGGGCGATCAGAGAAATGTCCTGAGAGTTTTTATTTGCCAAACTCCTGCACTCTAAAGGCCTTCCTTCACCTCTTCCATAGTGCACACTAACACCAAAAGAAAGAAACTGCGCTAGTTAATTAATTTTTTTTTTTTACTCTTCACACTTCTGCAGTGTATTTCTAGATTATTAGGTTGACTTACTGTTCCTTAAAATGCTCAGGGAAAAATTGAGGGTTCATTTAAGTATTGCAGGCTCATGATCTGTGACAAGCATTTTACAAAGTGTCAGAAAACTTCTCACTTGATAATAACATACTGACAGTCAGGGGAGCGTTCCCTTTTCTAGTGCTAATAATCAGCATTAAAGCATGCCACAGTTCCTACAAGAAACCTGTGATCCTTACAGGCTTAGCTGTCATCTTTCTGCGATAATGGAATGTACTACAATTTTATGCATATGTACCATTAAAAAACAAGAATAATGGTTCTCAAAACCACCAGCCTCAGTTTTAGAGCTTCTGTCGCACAGGTGAGCACAGTGATTCCCATTCAGGGCCCAGGCCGGTGAAAGGGTTTTCATCCCCTGCAATGTCCGTCCCCTGCCCCACCATACTGTCTTGCTGCCCCCAGCTCAGCACTCTCGCTTGGCCCTGGGCCTCTGGAGGCCATGGCCAGCCCCTTCCCATCCTTGGGGCAGGACAGGAGGCAGTGCTGTCCCTGCTGCCACACCTCGAGCTGTGTGTCAGACCCCACGGGCAGCGTCCACGTACCCACCAGCAGGCAAAAGCCAGCTAAGGAGGAGCCTTCCTCCTCCATGTCCTGCTTCTTGGGCTATTTCTTTCCTCATTATCACTGATCACAACAGGCTGAAGGTTCCTCCTTACATCTGGAAGCTATTCCGTTTATTTTCCCTAGAAATTCAATCCCGAGTCCCTGATGACACATCCAAAGTGATGTAAACTCTCCAAAGATGACTGTGGAGGTGGTGGCCACTGCTGAGTTCCTGCCTGCAAACATGCTCCATATCATGACATAAACTGGCAAAATCATCTACTGGGCAGCAGCACCACCCAATAAAGCTGCTCATTTAATTACCAAATAATGCTGAACTAAAGCGGCAGTTAGAACAGATAACATCTGAAGCAGCATCTCTTTTGCAGGGCCAACGTTAAAGCCTGGGTACCGCATCACGCTATTTACAGTGACCGAAGACATAAACCTTGAGCAGCGCAGCTCCTCGGGCCCTCGGTCAAAGGCACCCATGGCTGGCAAGCAGGAGGGACTGAACTAGGTGAGTGCCAGAATCAGGTGCTGCACGTGCCTCCTGACAGGAACCGCCAGAGAAGAGGGAATGAAGAACCAAGTGGCAAAACAGCATTGCCTCTCAGTGTGAGGACCCCACGCTTCCACCTACCACTTGTTATTCTGAACCTTCTGCTGCCACTTATTCCTGGGTAAAAGGGGCATAAAGGAGATCTCGCCCCCCCTTCCCAAGAGAACTCTTCTCAGGTATGCCACGGTGGGGAAAAAAAGTATCATTTTAAAAATATTTGATATTCCTGATATTTGAGACTTACCTCACAACTGACAAGGCTGTGACAGCTAATCACATGTTTCTATTAAGACTCTGCAGTCAGGGACTGTACAGAGCTCTTCACTCACGTTTGGCTTTGAAGGGGACACACATATGCATATATGTAACATACACATATGTTAACAGGACATATATATATATATATGTTAACCACTGTTCAGTAAGAGCTGACGGCAGTGCATACAACAATCTTTGTTGGTTTCCTCAGCACTGCAAGAACACAACTTTAAAGTTCCACAGAAACCGGCTGATAATAAAGTAAATAGCATCAGTGATACAGGTTTTTGGCTACTGTGCCACAGAACTGTGATCAATAACATGTACCCTTGATCATCCCCTATGTTAAGTGAGTCTCATGTCAGCCAATAAACTGCCTGATGTTTAACCTTTGTATTTCCTGACAATTTATTTTTTACAAATAAATTGTTTTTTATCGAACAAACCCCAAAAAGCTCCTTCCTGACCTTTCCTGGCTGGTTATGAGAAGGCTGACAGCCTAGTGACATAAAACTGAAGTTTCAAAAGGACTAGTAAGATGCAGAGTCCAAGGAAAGCCCTGCAGCTGAGCTTGAACTTCTTCTGGCACCCGTACTGAAGGAAAAGTGTTCAGTCTCAGCACCCTCATGCTCTTTCACTCTTTGGATCTTTTGAGACTCCAAACAAGAGGTCAGTTAATTCAAGTTGTGGCAGTTTACATATAAAGACATCTGTCCACCAGGAATTAAACTTCTTCTGTATGGGTCACTATAGCTATCAGAAGTTAATGACTATCAATCATTACTAATCTGAACTGAAATGGACCCACTGACCTCAAGCTGAAAGAGCCTTTTGTTTCCTGCCAATACGATGAGCCATATGGTTCCCTGCCCTTTGCCTCCTACTTTATATTTTAAATAATCATCACTAATTGTACAATTGTTTGAAAATATGGGAGGTTTGTGGCAAGTCATGACCAAGTGTTGTTCTTTTTTCCCTTAGCTCTCACTCAATAGAAGGGATCTGTTTAAAATTAAAGGATGAAAAAGCATCTCTCTTAATTAAATATTAGCCTTGCTATTTGATTATTGGTCCTGCTTCTTAACAGTCTACCAAGTAGACTGTTAATAATCCTGCAGGCTGCAGTAATTAACATCTTCCAAAGTGTCAAGGTCGCTCCTGTTCTATATGAGAGTAATAAGAAAATTATATAGGCAAGACACCAATGGAATGTTTTATATTAGGATAAATGAGTATCTGAGGAACCTACTTATCACAAATCTCTTTTTATTCAGTGGTTTTCATTGTTTTATATCAGTTGTGTTTTCACTGGAACATTTTCCCTTTACAAGTGCTCATATACTGCAAATATTCGATTATAGAGCTTAAGAAAAAACCATTCTTGTCAGACAAATAAACTGCATCACCAGCTATCTTTAGCCGCATCTGTTTTCTTTAATGAAACATATTTTCCTGTAGAAATGCTGCCTTAAAAATCATGACCACACTAATTATCTATGGCAAGCACATCTTCCTCAACTAACGACAGCTCGAGCATATTATCGTTTGCACCAGACTTCATCCTGAAATTGAAAGACCCATAAAGCTTTGCAGACTCCTTGGAGGACGCAAACCTGCTCCTTCGGTACAGCTCCCCTTTCCACATGGACATCATCAGCAGGCTGGAGAGCACCACTCCCCCCAGGGTTAAGAGACACAGCCCAGCGATAACGCAGCGGTCCAAGTGAGCCCCGATCCTGGCGCTCTCGTTCTCCAGCCTCTCCATCTCCCGGGCAGCCACGGTGTTGGGATCCACAGTCACGTCTCTGGGTACCACGTAGGAAATGATCACCAGCAAAATGCCGCTCACCAGGAACAAAATGGCACTAATGAACCCGTAGTCCACAGATTTCCCAGCTGCTGCCTCCGAGGCAGCGTCGTCCTCCTCGGAGGCCAGCGAGGGAGAATTGTGCACCCACTCGGGCGGCAGCTCCCTGCAGGAACGCTGCTGTGGAGGGGCTCCCTGGCAGCGGCTGCCTGTAGGACTGGGGGGGCTTCCTGCATGCTCCAGGTTTACATTTTCATCCACGTAGGTGAATGATGTCTCGAGTTCCTGGGCACAGCAGCAAGCTTTCTTCTTCCCGCCCTCCTCTTCCCCGGGCAAGCGCTCGGGCAGGTGGTAGGGCTGGGAGGTGCCGGGGGGTGCAGGGTGCTCCTGGGGTGAGGTGCCTGGCGGGGAGGGTTGGGGTGCCAGGGGGGGCTCAGCCACAGGGCTCCTCTGCAAGGGCTTGCAGTGCCTTTCGCAGCGCAGGGCTGCCACAGCAGCGGCTGCTCTGGGGTCCACCTCACCCCCCTCACGCTGCTGCTGCTCGTAGGGAGGGGAGGGCAGGCTCCAGCCGGCAGCGGTGCCCAGGGGCGCCTGCCTGCTCTCCTTGGCCAGGTAGAGAAGCTCCATGCAAGCCATCGACCTCGTCCCGGTGAGTCCCGGCTCCTGGGCTACCGCATCCTTCAGCGAATGCTGCTCCCGACCCGCTGAAGCGGCTTCCCGGTACCAGAGCTGCTGTATCCCAGAAATCTTCTATTCTTTCACCAACGTTTTGTTAGGGACATGGCTTGTGTCAGCTGTTAAATGATTAAACAAATCCTCTCTGACATTCATTTCTTTTCGGTCTGAAAATGAAATAGCAGAGGGGAAAAAAAAAAAGCAACAGCAACAAAAACAAACCCGACAACCTCATGATGATGCATTAATAAACCGAAGGGAAGATATCGCAAATGTAATACATCAGCCTTCCTCTCAACTGTTCGAGGGGAGACGGCAAACACAATTGTTTTAACCACACATTTAAAACTGCAATCCTCTTGCAGATCCAAAATCTACTGGGGAGTCTAATCAACCTTTGACACCAATACCCAATTAAGGCAGTAGGTCATCTATAGAGCACAGGATAACCAGAATAACTGTAAAATGTCAGAGAAAAGAGACATCTGCCCTTTTAGAAGCAAGTAACTCCCCCCACCCCCTTCCAAATGAAGAATTTAAAACTCAGGTTCACAGACTAATTAGAGAGAAACACACAAATCCCATGTCGCTCAATAATCCCGGATCTGTATTCTCTGGTGGAAATCTGATAATCCTATGGGAAAATAAGTGCTTTCCTATAGCCGAGCTCCTGTTCGATTAAGAGCTTTCAGAATGAAATTATGCCTCAAAGACGGATGACTCAAAGACGGATATTACTTCTCATCTGCAATTAATTCGTTATTGCCCCCTTCTTCTGCGCCCCATCCCCCCTCGAGGCCGAACGCCCGGTGCCATTCGGAAAAGCCTGCAGCCCAACAAATGTGTTGCACGCGTAGGGAACACATGTGCGCCTATAGCATATACGTGATCGATAACAGACGCGACTTACTCACGCTCTTCTCGGGACCTGCGCGGGTACCGGCCACGCTAGGGAACGCGACCCCCGCCGGCGCGGGGACCGGCTGGATCCACACGCAACTGTGTGACCCGAGTGACAGAGGTTAGAGGCGCGCAGATACGCACCGGCACACACGCACAGCCCGGCCGGCTGGAGCACGCCTCCTCCTCCTCCTCCTCCTCCTCCTCCTCCTCCCCCTCCTCCTCCTCCTCCTCCTCCTCCTCCTCCCCGCCGGGCTCTCCCCTGCCCGGCTCCGCACACCTACCTCCCGCCCGCCGCCGCGCCCGCGCTGCGGCCAGCGCCCCGGGGCACAGCCGAGCTGCGCCGAGCCGAGCCGAGCCGAGCCGAGCCGAGCCGAGCCGAGCCGAGCCGAGCCGAGCCGAGCCGAGCCGAGCCGTGCCGGGCGGGCAGTGCCGGGGCGGGCGGGCGCTGCGGCACGCTGGGAGTTGTAGTTCGCAGGCGGCCGCGCCGCTGCGGCAGCGCCGGGGGCCGCCCCTGCCCGCTCCTCCCGGCGGGGCACCCCGCCGCTGCCGCCTGCCTCTCGCTGCCCCTGTTCCCAGTTTAGCAAGCGGTCCCCCGCCGAGCCCCAGGTTCCCCCACCGGGGTTTGGAGAGGTGCGAGGTGGAGCGAGCCTTGGGAGGTAGCTCTGGTGCGTGTGTCTAGCGCGATCAGCACCCAGGCTTCTTTTCCTTAATCACGGGAGTTTACGGCTTTGCTCCGTGGAAAGATAAAATCCGGTTCTCACATGATCGCAGCACTCGCAGAACTGAGACTTCAAGGGACGTACTCACTGCCTCAAGACTTACAGGAAAATCTCAGGAGCTCACTCCACGTTGGCAGACTCTCCACACACTTTGTCAGGCATAAATGACTGTTAAAACATAGGCTGTTGCCAAGAATACATAATAAAATGGATGACCAGTTGGTATAAACCTTCTCTGACTTTCCTTGCCAGTGCTTTCTCTGAAGTGATAAGCTAGGATGTGAGAATAAATTGTGGAGGAGGAGGAACTGAAGATTTATCATAGATAGATACAGCGCTGTTGGGGAGAGACCTGGCTCTGGGGAGGCAAAGAGCACCCAGGGAGGGTTCCTTGGTGTGGACCTGAAACGAGGATGCCCATGGGAAGTAGAAGTGAGCAGCACCTGCTTGCATGGCTGCTGGGCAGGAAAGCAGGGGCACAAGAGGGAAAGAGAGCCAGGAAGGAACCAAACGAGGCAGAAGAGAGAAGGACAGACTGCCTGAGGGAGTTGTCCTGACATCAGGGGACAAGGCGATCCCGTGTAAGGACTCTTTGCCAGCTCTTAAACACTGCATCAGGCAAACAAATCAAAGTTCTGAAGACAAATCCTGCTGATACCCAAAAGACTCAGCACAGAAGATTCAAATCTTTGTGGCAATAACTCCCATGAATGCCAAAATTACTTGCCAGGACACGGCAATACCAGGGGACTCCCCGTGCCCATCTCACAGATTGCTCAGTGCTGTGGGCTGTTTTAGACCACTGCTTCAAAGCAGCTCCAGGCGGTGTTTCCATTAGCAGAGGGGTGTTTCAATGCATTGAATAGTGTATTATTCGCTCTTTGAAGAAAAATTGTAAGGAGAAAATTATGGAGTGGGGAAAACAGCACAGACTGTCCTTGGAGCTTTTTGTAATAAAGCCCTCTTTGAAATAAATATAAAGGAACAAATAAAACCTAAGCAAAGAAACAAAAAAAGCCTATCTGTAAACTGTTCAAATACTTTAAAGCAAAAGCAAATACAGAAACAATCTCTCTTTAAGGCTATTGCACATTTCCATTCGGTAAGCAGCAGGGTAGGAACATGCAGATATTGGCCGCTGGCACCTTGCGCTGCACCTGCCACAACTGATAGACAAGTCTTAATTAAGTGACTGACAGGACAAAATGTGGTGCTCAGCCCCAGAAATGCAGCCTGGGGGAAAGCAAGCACCTCTCCTGGGCCTCAGCACAATCTGCCAAGGCCTTGGGTGGGCAGTTGCTTTCTGATAGCTGATACAAAGGCAGGAAATTGTTGTCAGTGCACAACAAATGGCCGTGTCATTGATCTTTCAAAACCCAGGAGCTGCAGCACATATTCTTGAGTGCTTCCTAGAACTTTAGTTGCTTGTTATTTAACCACACACAAATGTCTTGCTGCTCTGCCACCCACTCTCCTCCTCATTGTGTGCCAGCTTCTGTTGGGCAAGTACATTAATTTGTTGCTAATAATTACAATCCCACAAAGTAAGGAGCAAACAGAGGAAACCATGACTCTGACAATCCAAGTGTTGTCTGTTCTTACATGTCTTCCCAGGTGAATCTGTCCTTCCTTTGACTCCTGCAGTGCACAGACTCTTTAGAGCGAAGTCATTGTCTTGTCACAACCCATAATACTGACGTCCCTTTTTCCTACTTTCGATGAAAAGAGTTAACAGCATTTTTGTTTAAAGAATGTAAGTGATTGTTGCCAGTGTTCTGAGGTGTGGAGGTGGTGAAATGAATGCATAGCAACACATATTCTGCAAACACAAATACAGCTGGTGAAAAGATTAATCAAGCAAGGGCAGGAAGTAAGAACATTTGTCAAAGAAAAAAACAGCTACGTGGAGCTAAAAACCAGAGTGATGGACACACAATGGTACCGGAATAAAATACTGGAGCAGACTGTCAGGGTTGATGAGCCTTGTTCTCTCTGCTGCAGCCTGCCATATCATACAGTCCTTTCAGAGGCTGAGCAGGGCTATGGTAGCAACACAGTGATAATATGGGATGTGACAGGAGACTGATAAAGGTGTCTCAGTTGTGATATACAGGATTAAATTTGAGTCATGCTCTAGACCTGCTTGGAAGCTCTCTTCTAGTTAGTCCTACTATAAATGAGTATCTGAATTAGATGTATATGGCTTTTCTGTTCACGGTAAGCTATGCTCAGTATAAGACTGGAAGAAGATTTGTGAGGATCTAAAAGTGATTTCACCCCATCTAACTATGTGTGTATTTGTAGCCCTGCTGAAGGCCTGACCAGCCCTGAAGACATCCGAGAAACCAGGCAAAACTAGAACAAGTATTCTGAATGGTGCATTCCATCATGGGCTGATGAAGGTTGGGTTTAGAAATATCCTGCTTGCTCTTACCAGTCCAGGAAATTTTCCAGTGCTGAATGGGATCCTCAGTGGAGCATTCCCCCAAACATTTTTATTCTTTTTATTGTTTTCATCTTAATAATGTACACAGAGTCCTTCAGTGATTTTGTGTTCACAGCATCTTCAATTCCCTGCCCTGCACAGTCACAGGACCTTGGGTTTCCAGCAGTCCCTGTGCAAGTGTTGCAAGATGGTATAGATATTCCAAGATAAAGGTGAACCCTGGCCACTGTGGCTCCGAGCATAATATATTCAGAGAAATCTAGGGAGACTATCACAAAACCTTCCCATTTCCACTAAAACAGATCATACCTCTGAGTAAAGTAAATTGGCTAGGGTGCCAAAAACAAGGGGCTGCAGGAAAATTTAAAACCTATTAAAGAAATATATGGTCCTGTGTACAGGTCTGTGAAAAATAACAAAGGTAATAGAAATGAATGAGGAGGCAAAGCTAAGCTTTTATATAAAGTGCAAAAGAAAAAGTGATGTAATTTTTTTTTTGCTTAGAGAATACAAGTATTCTGAGGATAACAAGCAAATATTTGGACAACTCACTGTGAAAAGAAGTATCTAGCATTTTCATGTGTTTCTAACACATTACTGTCACAGATCTATTGATTTATAAAGTAAAAGTAGATAGGAAAGCAATTTAATTCTATGTGGTTGCTTCACTAATGCACATCCATTGTGCATTGATAAAAGATACAATAAGTAAATAAATTTACAGAGAGACGAAGAAACTGTAGATGTTTGATATGATGTACCAGAATTGTCAAGTGGAGATTAAATCCTTGCTAAAGCCTTCTGCTTCCCATGTCTGAGTATGTGAAATCATGGTTTGGGTAACAAGGGCTTCTGAGGAAGAACAAAAGAAGTCACTCCTTGGTCTTAGAGCAAAGGGTCACCTGGAGGAGCAGGGCTGGAAGAGTGAGCTGTTGAACGCTTGAAAAGCATGGGTGCTATAGCCCAGTCTTTTAGGTCAACTTGTTTGGACATTTTTAGCTATGTGCAAAAAGACTCTGCAACTAGAAGACATGCACCTTAGAAGGGTAAATCAATTACCTATGGGCTAATAGACATGAAAGTAGGATTTAATGAGCTGTCAGGCTGAGGTCTGCTCCCCAGTGCGGCACCTGTGGAGCCTTTGCTGGCCTCAGCGGCACCAGGAGGGGAAGGGCCAGGTCTGGGTGTCCCAGAGCTGCTTTCTCCCACCCACTCTGCCCACACCAGTGACCCAAGCTGGCGACCTGACTGATCCCACTACCCCAGGCTTTGTCATTCATCCTGAGCAGCCTCCCAGCTTTCCTCCTTCAGAAGCTCATACTCGGCCACTTTCCCTCCTGAATCCTTGAGCAACTGGCCACCCCCATCTCAACACACCTACTCTTGACTGTACCTTTATTTTTCTAGTGTCCCACTGACTTTTTCACTGCTCTTTCTCAGCAGTCTGGGCTCAGGTTGCACAGTGGGACATACCCGAGCTGGCCCTGCTGTGTCCAAAGCAGACTGGCTGCCTAGTGCCAGGCACCCGGGCACCACTGTAAGCGCCCAAGCTGTTGGACGCTGGCATGGTGGAGATGCCTCCTGCCTCCCTGCATGCCTCCAGAAGGCTGAACCCTGAGCTGTGCAGTGTGCTCTGACGGAGCCTTGGCAGAGCCCAAACAGCTCCTCCTTGCCAATGGGCCCGCAGTCACCACATGTCCCCACAGATGTCTTCCCACTGATAGGGAAATACCAGCACCGTGCTGTCACTCACCTGCAATAGGCAAAGTCTCCATTTGTTTCTCGCTATGGCCACGCCTGGGACATTAAGGACCCATTTCTCCCCAGGTCACCCCACAGACCAGAGACTGCAGCCCTGAATGCTCTGTGGCTGCTGAGCGCCAGACGTCATGCACACAACTGATTCCTGTCGTTGCCTTTTCCAGGCGCTTTCCTGGGTGGCTATTCTCATCCCCTTCCTGCGCACTTATGTGGAACAACAGTGA